GCTCCCAAGTGTTTGATCCTGCTCATCTTGAGACTTGGAGATAAGATGTGTGTGCTCCAGTTGCCAGATCTCACTGGAGAAGCCGGGGAAGAGAAACTCTGTGGCTGGGCTGATAGGCTTAGCTGCTGCAGCCTGGCAGGGCAAAACACCCTGTCCCCCTCCCTCCTTCCCTCCCTTCCAGCGTTTGAACACGCAAAACTCCCTCCAGTGATAGAAAAGAAACAGTCCACTTGCCAACAGATTCCCCGTGCCCACCCCATGGCTTCTGACAGCTTCAAAGGCAAAACCTCTGCCTTGAAGTCTCCTTCCCCAGCAGCACAGGCAGCAGCACCCACGGTGCCTGGAGCGTGGGGACCAGCAGTGATCCTTCACATTCAGCCTCCATACAGCCACAGTCAAGCAGGTGGTCCAGCCTCCCCATTAAAAGTGCCTTTTTTTTTTTTTTTTGCCAAGAAAGTGTGACTTAAATATTTAGGGTATTGAGAAAGGGACTCTGCTCCCTAGGACATACAGCACTGCCACAGGGGAAGCACAGACTCACCTGCAGCCTGGCCAGTTGTAGCACCCACAAGCACTAATAACCTCAATAACAGTGCTGATGCAATCTCAGCTTTAAATCACCAGTGCTGCCCATGAGAGGTGGCCAAAGTCACTGACATTATGCTGACAGCGGAGCCAGGGCTGGAAAACCAGGGCTCAGGGTTAGCCCAGGAAGACGGAATAATTATCTGCCTCTTCCCAAAGGGTTTGCACTCAGGCCTGCAGCCATGGAGCCTGCTACAGCCATGAACAGCAGCTCACATCTTGGGGTTACCACATCTGGGGTTTTTCTTACTTCTGGAGCTGAAGACCTAGAAAACTGCAGAAGTTCCCATCTCATCCCCAGGGCTCACTGGCACTGAGCAGCCCTTTCACACTTCAGCTCCTCCTGGTTATTAACAAACTCCCCTCAACCTCACAGGGCAGAATGTTTTTTTCTCCCATTACTGGTAAAGACCCAGATACAAGGCTCAGATATTTTTCTCCTGCAGAAAACAATTATTTCTTGGTGGTTTAATTACCATGTATAATGGTAGGGTCCAGAGCAGTCCGTGAGCTTTGCCCTCTAATTAGTCAGCAGAAGAAAAGCCAGGTTATTGCTTTTCACCAGGAGTGTGAGCTGAGGAGATGAAAGGGCTGGATTTGAAAGAGCCTTTTCACAAAGCTGTTCTTTGGGGGGGAAGGCCTGGGCAGCAAACACGTTCCCTTCATCTCCTTTCATCCTGCAGATGATGGATGAGACTGGCAAATCCCACGTGTCTGTGGCCCCTGGGTGGGATTGCTGTGGTTGCAGGGTGGAGACCCCGCACCCCTGGGCTGGTGTCCAGTTCCTCATGGGCACAAATGTCCAAACACAACCCTAGTGTGGAACTGCTCTGCAACTGGGGAGGTCTGCTACCTGTCACAAGCCATGCCAGGTGTGTTTCCTACCAGGGCATGGACCAGAGGACAGAAGACCCCACATGCCAAGTCCTTCCCACAGGGACAGACCACCAGGTCCTGTGTGCCAGCAAAAGAACCCAGCAAAGCCAGGCTGGCTGCCAAGACAGGGGCTGGAAAGGGCAGGAAGGACCCTTTCCACCCCTGCCTCCCACCTCCCCCTTTCCCATCCCCATCCACCTCCATCAGCCACCACCACTGGGAGCCCCTGAGCACCACGGACAGCTGCTCCAGCCGAGGAGGGCTGGGACCACAGGAAAGGGACCCTACTTGTAGTTTAACTTCTCAGTCTCCTCATCCTCTGGTTCATCACCAGTGCCTGCAGCCACTGTCGGGAGCTCGGGGCCTTGGAAGCGCTCCAGGAAGGGGTCTGGCCTCTGCTGCTCCTCGTGCAAGCTCCTGCTGGCCCAGTCCCTCAGCACCAGCACCAGCCGGGCTATCCTGGGCAGGGGAGAGAGGCAGAGTCAGGAGATGTCTATGGAGCAAGGAGAAAGCAAAAGCTTGAGAGCCATTGGGGGGGACTACAGCTGAAAACAAAATTCTCATAGCTCCCTCTCAAGCCCAAAAACTTCTTTTTCCCTCTAGTATTGACGATGTGGGACCATAAATATACAAGCAAGATGGACCACCCCTGTAGAGTTCCACAGCTTCTCCCCCAATCCTGATGCCACTTCCACAAGATTTCGAGGAATCTGTGGGTGACTGGGGCAGAGGGGGGCTGCCTGCAAGTGAAAGGAGCCCCTGAGCCCTCCCAGGGCCCCAGTGGGGGTGAAGCCATCCTGTGCCACAACCCTCTCCATGGCCAGTGAGGCACAAGGAGCAGCATTCACAGATGCTGGTCCCTGCATCCCATGAATGCCATACAGCAGGAGGGGATCCCAACCCCCTGCAAGGCCCCAGTGGAAAAGCCTGGCACGAGAGGCTCAGGCTCACCCCAGGCCAGTGGCACACACAGGTACCTGGCCAAGGCTCCCCGGCCTTGGAAAGCAGAGGCAGCTGTCTGCTCCTCCCCATCCAGGGGAGCTCCTCTCCACAGCTCTGAGGAGGTGTCATCCTGGGTTGAGCAGGTCCTGCAGTGGGGAAAAGGGGTGTCACAACCACACTGTGCCATCATGGCACCTGCCACAGCCAGGGGAACTGGAGGGAGCTGGCAGTAGGGGTTGGGCATCGCAGCCCTGCCCGTGCCAGGTCTCAGCAGACACACCAAGCTGGCCTCCCCCTCCCCTGTCCCACCACTGCCTCCCTCCACCACAGCAGGGACCAGCCTGACCTCCTGGTGCTGGGCCCTGTCCCCTCCATGTCCCCCTCTGCTTGGATGTGGGTGGGTGGGCTGGGGTGGTGGTTGGCTGCTGAGCTCTGCAGGCCATTGCTCTTTGCTGTCATCACCACTGTGGGGATACCACAGGGACCTGCAAAAAGCATCACGGGGTTTGAGCCCTTGTCTGCCCTTGCCTTGCATTCCCTCCTCTCCCTTGCCTTGCCTACCCCTCCCCATGCCTTTCCTTTACTTGCCTTGCCTTCATTACCCCTTCCCTTGACTTGCCTATCCATCCCTTTCCTTGCCTTGTTTTCCCTGCCTCCTCCTCCCTTCCCTTGCCTTGCCCTGCCTTCCCCTCCCTTTTTTGCCTACCCCACCACTCCCGTGCCTTTCCTTCCCTTCCCTTCCTTGACTCCCCCTCCCTTTCTTTGTCTCTCCTTCCCTACCCCTCCCGTTCCTCACCTCCCTGGGGCAGCAGTGCCACTGCCGCGAGGCCACCACTCTCCACTTACTGTCCTGGCGTCCCCCGAAGCCTTCAACACTGCGCTGCTGCCTCTGACGGGCTAGCAGGGGTGGCAGGGGAGCATCCCTCCCCGGGAGCGTCCCGGGCTGCCTCGGCAGCGATCAGGCTTTTAAAACACGCGTTGGGCTGCAAAGCTAAACCAGGGCAGGCGGAGCTGCCCGCATTCCTGCCCAGGAAGAGGCAGGAGAGGTGGCTGGGCAGCACCCCGGCGGTGGCAGCGCGGCCGCGGCTGTGCACGGGGAAGGTGCGCACACGCACGGGCGCGGCTCCCATCGCTCCAGCACACCCGTCCCCTGAGCGCTTCATGGGAGTTCACAGCAGCTTTGTGTCTGGGGACGAAAGGGGAGGAGGGGAATGTGCTGCTCGGAGATGCTCCGTTCGCCTACCCGCGTGTTCCCCTCTCCCCGCACGCGTCACCTCCTCGGTGGCCGGAGGGACCCCAGACAACTCCCAGGGCAGAGCCCGGCTGGAGGTCGCAGCCATCCTGAGCAGCCCAGTGACCCCCGAGTCCCCAGCAAACCTTGGTGAAGGGTCACTGCCCACCCCGGGACAGGCACAGCCGGCAGAGCCCAGACGGGCTCAGGTCCTGCCACAGGAGGGGATGGCACCTGGGATGCTTCCCGGGCAGCCTGTGTCTGCTCTTGTTCCCCTCCCAGCCCTCTGCCCCAGGGAAAAACAGAGACAGTGGCTATTTCCCTGCTTTGGAGGCTGTGCCACAGCTACTGCTTTGATGGAAAATGGGCAGAAGCAGCCACATTTTAACACCCTCACATGCACTTACCTCTTCTCATGCTCAGGGAGCAGGAGACCAAAAGTGCTGCTCTGGAGTCCTGTCAAAGGGAGCTGCAGAGTTTGAAGGTGATCATGAAACACATCTTTCGCCAATTTCTGCCCCATTATTTTGCTCAAAAAGCCATTCTAATAACCAGTTAGCAAAAACTTTGCATCCCCAAGGCAATAAGGAAGGGGTTAATTTTTACCCCCTTCCTCCAGGATCTAACCACTTGCAGTGGCCAAGGCTGGATCCGTCCCTGACCTGCACATGGAGTCCTGTGCCTTGTGCAGGGCTGATCTGAAAGCACCAGCACTGGGAGTCACTTCTCCCTTTGCTATCAGAGCTTTACCTTTTCCTTTCAAAGCCTTAAATTCCACTGGTTCTGATCTCGCTGAACACCCAGACAGCAGGGAGTCCAAAGGCAGAAACAACTTCTCAGCCTTGACTGGGGCTGCTGGCAGCACTGGGAGGTTCCTGGGTGAGCACCCAGCAGCAAGGGCCATGCCCCCCTGCTCTTGTCCCCACGTCACAGACCCCAGCACTGGAGACAGTGCTCACCAGGAGCATTGGCAGCAACACGTGCCCACCTTCCAACTCTCCTTTTGCTCCCTGCCTGCAGCTGCCTTCAAAAGGAACTTGGGAACTTGCAGGAGCTGCTCCCTTGCAGCTCCCTCGAGCATCATCTTGCACTTTATTTGCTGTGCACATCGTTGTGGCTCTGACCCTTGGAGACACCCAGCCCTGCCACGTGTGCTGCCCTGGGACACAGCCAGGAGGAGAAGGTGAGGAAGAAAGAAAGGAAACAAAAGCCTCACATCCCAACAGGGACAGCATTAACCAGAGGCTCTTCTCCAGATCCCTCCCCTTAGTCAGGGCAGCTGGGGCTGAGAAATCCAGCACCAGGTCACAGTCCTGCTGCCAAGGGAATACCAGAATCAGACTCCATGGCTGGTAAAAGAAACACATCCAGAACACACAGAGTTTATTAAAACATGCATTTTGTGATCAGTGTTTCCAGATTTACAGCAGAATTTATGCCTTACATAGAAGTCATATTGTATCTCTCCACACCCTGTCAATAATTAGCCTGTGAGAACACATATAGTTTGACCATCTCTCCTCCAAACACCTTCAAGCCATCCTTTGAAGGTGTGCCTTCACAAAGGGTCAGTCCTTCTCACCCTAAAATACAGTTTAAAAAAAAAAAAAACCAAACTCAAGCTTCTTCCAAACACGTTTGCACCTCTCAAAGAAGAGAAACCAGACCAAAAAATTACCATATTTCCAGCCATGATTCACACAGAAGTAGCCCCTTTATATAATATACCTGTTGTGTAAGGTCCTCTGGTGACCCTGACCACAGCCCTGAGCCACCAGTGCTCCTGTCCCTTACATACCCCCACATGCCAAGCCCACCACACCATCCTGGCTCTCCTCTGCAATAAATCCCAGCACTCTGCTCAGCAATCAGCCACAGGTTCAGACCTGCAATTACTTGTGGGACAGTTATTTATTAGTCAGTGTCCAGCTGCCAGATTTACAGTCACAGATGCTTGATGCAGTTTCAAGCAGAAAACAGCCAAGCATCCATGTCTGTAAATAAGCTATTGGGACATCTGGATGACCTGTGGATCCAGCTGTAATTACTTATAGGTGGCACAGATAGGTCCTGTTAAGCCTTGCTAAAACCTGTCCCCAGAGCCTGCGGGCACAACTCCAGCAGATGTGCTGGATGAGCAACCAGAAGCATCTCAAAGTCACCTCAGATCCAAGTGTTACTGAACTCCACAGAAGGAAAGAAACAGCAAAGCTGTTGAACTGGGCTCGTTTGTAGCTAAAGAGCATCCGGGTCAGGAATTTCCTTCACCTGTGTTCTTGTACCATCACTGAAGCTACAGCTTGGCAGCAGACCTGGGAGACATCCTCCCCTCAGCACTGGAAACCCAAAAAATACCTCCTGCTGCTAATGGGTGATTTTCCATGACCTGTCTGGGGCTATCACTGCTGGTACAAGGTCTTATAATCCATAGAGTCACCACAGGGATTTTCCCATGTAAATCTCTTTGGGAAAGAGCCAAGCTCCTGGGTAAGCCCAGATGTCAGCAATGCTCTCACAGTCACCCTGGATTTGAACATCTGCAAACCCACTGCTGAACTGCCTCCAGCAAGATGGGAGCTGACAGGGGTGGTGGCACAGCAGCAGCTGCAGGGATGTGAGCTCCTGGCTCCTCCACCTCCATCCCTCCCAGAGCAGGGGCTGTGGCACAGGAGACCTGGCAGTGCTACCACCACCAAAGAGCAGTTTTTCAAGGAAAGGAAACCCCAAAAGCAGTTCAGAAACACTCAATCACTCTACAGAACATGAGGAGCAGACCACAGCAGTTGGCTGAGAACATTTATGGGGTCAGAGCTGAGTTATCCAAGATGGGGTGTGCTGAGGGGATTGGGCTGTAGAACCACATGCTACAACTGTAACAGGACCCCATCCCCACAACACCAACACCTTGGGTTTGTGACTCCCCTGGCAGACAGCCTAAGGGCCAGAGGGTTTCCCCTTGCTTTGCACAGAACAGACACCTCCTGTGTCATCCACCGATTTCTTTAGAAGGTCTCAGCTTTTCACAGCAGCTTCCTGCACAGGGTGGCTGCTAATGTACACAGAGCCTGGGACTGCACCTGCTGGGCTATAATCCCTGGACCCCATGGCCCCAGCACCATCTCCACTTGTTGGAGCACAAGGTCCAGCTTCAGCATCTCCCTCACCCACCTCTGGTGCTGGAGAGGGATGGCACCTTCATTGTCATCAAGGCCTAAAGGACACGGATCCTCAAGGGCCCGCAGTGCAAAAAGCAGGTCAAGTTAAGGACAAACACGTAGTTTTACTGCTGGCAAGTACACGAGAAAGGATCCTCTCCCTGCCCGGGGGAGCAGGGAGGTCAGGCATGGGCAGTCATCTTCTCAGCCAGAGCCACGTGTTGATGAGGCAGGCAGAGATCATCACAGAGTAGACCAGAGCCTCCTTCTGTTGCCAGGCATGGCACTGCTCTTCCAGCACACGGAGCCTCCCCGAGATCCTCGCCAACTGCAAGGGAAGCAGTGGGGTCAGAGTCAGCCCTGCAGCAAAGCACAGCACACTGGCTGCACCCTAGAGGCACGGGACAGCACAGGATGGAGGGATGGGAGCTGCTGACTTCTTCAGGTCCTCCTTTTCTAAAGAGAGAGCTATCTTTGTAGGGGAGAATTGGTACCAGTGCCTCAGGTCTGCAGCAGATGCTTCAGGAAAAGGTCCTTCCCATCAGAAGAGTGAGCCCCTCTCCCCACCTGCAGACAGAGGGGTCTGTTTGTCTCCTGCAGCCCTACAGCCCCTGGGGGTAGGAGCTCAATGGGTCAACACACGTGTAAGTCCTCTCCTGCTTCTCCATTAGGTAGGACCAGCATGACAGCACCAGCCCATCAGGACTGAGCAACAGACCCCTGGAGACTCCTCACCCACCCTCCCTCCCGTGGCTTTCCCAGGAAACATCTGCAGCCCTTCCCCCCCCAGTCTCACCTGCTTTCTCATCGCTGCCACCTCAGACACCCCAACCTCCTCCAAGGTGCTCTCTGTGGCTGGACCAGCCTCCTGGGAGCTGGGAAAGGAAAGCAGAGATAGAGGTGGATCAGCACTGCTCAAGGGGTGCAGCTGTCCCACCACAAGCACTGCCACGGGGAGCCAGGTCATGCAGGCAGATGTGTGTGCCCAGGTTGTGCTGCCTGGATGCAGCATCAGGAGAAAGGAAACAGCACCTGCACAGCATCTACTCATCTCTTCTTAACCCCCACCATGCATAATTATATCCCTCCACCATGCACCCAAAGGGATCATAACAAAACACACAGTACATGCCATGACAGGTAACAGGGAAAACACATGCTTGTATTTCTTTAGAAGTCCAACAGAGAGAAAACTTATCTACCAAGCATCCATTCTCTACAGTCCCAGGAATTCACTGAGGGTTGGATCTTAGAGCCATCTTTAGAGCCAGACAGGTAAATATGTGTGACAGGGCCAAAATGGAGGGATGATCTCATTTACAGTAGCAGGTGAGGATCCCACAGATGGAGGGAACTATCACTTCTTGCTCTTATAGCAAACTTCACCTGCAACTTGAAACATAAACAAGCAACCCAAACATTCACCACTTTCTTCCACTCCTGAAAACACAGGGGCTGCCTCTGGGATTAGCTGCTGTACTGGGATTCCCTGGGGATACAGCCTCACTGCAGGGTCTACAGCACCGAGCCACAAACCAAAGTAGATCCAACAGTGAGAAAAATCAAAATTGCCATGTTCAGTCTGTCGTCCCTGTCACCACAGGCTAGCCCAAAATCAGCTGTTCTATAACCAAAACTCCCCCGTGCACCAGCAAAACACAGGCACTCACTGATCCCACAGGGCTTAACAAGCATCTAACCCTGCTCCTTGGAGACCCTGGGGAGGAGAGGGTGTTTATTCCTGTTTGAAACATGTTGATCTCACTGAAGACAAGGCAGATGAGCACGTGGAGATTCAGCAAATCTCTGACTGAAAATACATTTGTGAGATAATACCTCCATATAATGCAGCTGCAGTGTAAAATGCCAGTCACAACAGAAAGCAAATACAATTTCCCCCAGCACAGAACCATGGAAAAAGGACACATCCTGCAGCTTTTGACTCAAAATCCCAGTTGATACAGGGGAACAACCTTTAGAATAGAAACTAGAAATTACCTTCTGATGACTCATACCCTTCAAGAGGTCACTGGCAGGCAAATATTCCAGTCTCTGTTTGAGACCAGACTTTTCTTTACTAAAATTTGAGGACAAACAAGTCAGCACAGTCTTTTTTTTCTTTATTTTTATTTTTGCACAGAGGCACAAAGTTGACGTATCAGAGGGATCTTGCCTGCATCTGAAGGGATGCAAAGTACCAAGAACAGGTGTTTGAAGGTGGCTGCTTTCAAAGGGAGACTGAGACCTGGGGAGAGGCCTGGGAGTCACCCAGGCTACCATAGCATAAATGTCCTCCACTGCTGATGGGAGGAGGGAGAAGGCTTTATGTAGTCACTAACCAGATCTGCTGGTGTGCCCAGACTTCATTAAGAAATTAAACAGAGTTTGAAGGCAGCCTCAGCCTACTGTGTTTAAAAGCAAGGACATCACTTTGTACCACTGGCAAGCAGAGGCCAGCTGGGGAGGGAAGGCAGGATGTGCCACTGATGATGGATGCAATGATGGATGCTCACTCTCCTCCCTTTCTGCCTGGAGGCTTTACTCAAGGAGAATTAGAAGTACTTGGATGTTTCCCCAGGTGCTCAGCAGTCTTAGAGCAGTGGGGACACCTTAAGGCTGCAAGGATGTTAAATTTACTGCACTGGCACGGATAAGGGTGGTGGAGATCGTTACTCCAGCACATCTGGAGGGATTGAGGTCACTGCACACCTGCTCCAGTGAGCACAAAGGCACAGCACCCCCTGGCCAGGGGCACTGGCTGTGGGATGAGTGACTTAGTGCTGCCAGTTCATGGAAAGGCTAATTAAGAGTGACCAAGATACAGCCAAGGGTGCTGGGACCCTGCAGGAGAGGATCTCTCAGGGACAGGGCCTGGGTCACGCTGTTCTGGATTTGGATTCCCTTCACACATTTCTCTCCATCAAGCTATCAAGGCACACAGAAAAATTAGTACTTGCTTAGCAGTGAAGAGAACTCCCAGCAATGTCACAGGCGGTGTTAGATCGCTCAGGACACCTGGGGGACTGGTGTTAAGCTCAGCAGGAGACACGAGCCTGGCTGGGTTAGTGGGGTGCACCCAGAGCTGGCAGACAGGACAGGCAAGAAGCAGAGCCCAAGGCAGCCATGCAGGACCATCCTGCCCCGTGCAGCCCACAGCTCACGGAGCTCATGTCTGGCTCACGTCTCAGCAAGGCAGAGGCCAGGCCTTGCAGAAGGACAGGGAGCTGGCTCAGGACACACCAAAGTCACCTGGATGGCACTGGGCCTTGCAGAGAGTCCTGGACACGGTGGAAGAGCACCTGGCCCAGGAGGTACATGGTCTGGAAGATGTTCTGCATGGAGTAGATCCTGCCTGCCCCTGCGAGGAGGGGGAGTGGGGCACTGCGAGCGGGCAGGGGGCCCGTGTCCGGCCTGGGGTGCACACAGAATCACTCCTGTTACTCCCTGACCTCGTGCAACAGGGCACAGCCTGCCATTAGGCACTGCCCTTCATCCCTTCAGCAGCTCCAGGCACCTCTGGGCAATGCCATGGGCACCCAGACCCCGATGTCACCAGGTGGGAGAACCCTCTCCTGCAGCCACCTGATTCCTCCAAAGCCAGCCACAGCTGTGTGCCATGCTGCTCTCACAGAGGTTGCAGAAGGCAGCTCTCATGCCACCAGGATGACCCTGAGCTTCTAGGGGGAAAGGTGCCTCTGCTCTGGGATTAACTTAAAGACAATTCCTCCACTGGAGAGACTCCGGAGCCCAAGGCCATGAGCAGAGGATCACTATCACTATGTTACTACTCACAAGCAAGTTTGCTCCTAGCCCACCCTCTGCAAGTTTCATCAACCCCTGCAGAAACCTGGTTAAGCCCTGGTGCCCCATTTCCAGTGGTCTCCTGCCCCCAGCACAATGCCATGCTGGTGCTGGAGCAAGAGAGCACATTGCAAGGCACCCAGAGGAAGATAGGCAGAGCCAGAGAGACCAGAGAGACAAGGCAGAGTGGACAGCAAGGTCCTCTTGGCCCCATGGCCAGGACCAACAGCACTGCCAGCCTGCTGTGAGAGGGGACATGCTGTCCCATGTGCATCTCAGCAGAAAGCACATCACCCTGGAGACCAACACTGCCTGGCACAAACCTCTGACACCAGAGGCCATGTTCCTCTCATGCAAGAGTAGGACTTGCCAGGCATTGCCTTGCTCTGATCTGGATCCTCCCCCTCCCCTGAGGACACCAACACCAGAGAGCTCCAAAGCAGCACAGTGGCAGGAGATGATGATCCCCCCCACCCTGGATGGCTCTGGGCTCATACTCACAACTCATGGTGCTGTCCTGGGCTGTGCAGGGCCAGCTGGGCACAGTCACTTGGGATCCTGTCCCGCCGGGACCTGCTGCTGTGGTGGCCCTGTTGGAATCAAACACAACCACATTGGCACAGAGACCTGCACAGGGCAGTCCCCAGTGCCCTGCCTGGCTGCACAGGGAGGGTACTCAGAGCTGGGAGCACTACATGTGCCCCAGCCTGCTGAACTGATGCTGGTGCAGGTGAGGAGACATGCTCACCTCACCTGCAGAGCAGAGAGAGGCTCACCAGCAAGGAGCCTGCTGATCTGGACTCCAACCAGACCAAAAATCCTGCACATAACACATCCAGGAACAGCTCCTGAATTTCAGGGAGGTGAAAGCCCTTGAGAAGGCAGAGCAACAGCTCCAGAAGCCAAACCAAGCTTTTGTCTGCCCATGCCAGGGACCTCTCTTTGAATTAGTTTCCCCCAAGGGTAAAATCTGCTTTCAGCTTTGACCCCAGAACCCTTTACACTGCAATGATAAACCAGCTCCACCTTGTACTTCATTGAGGAGAAAAAGAGATTGGAAAGGGACTTCAAGAATAGCAGAAGAAGGTTGTGGGGGAACTGCACCTACCTCAGCCCACCTCCTGCTCACAAAATGCAGCAGGAGATCCGGCTGGATCAACATCCCAGCACACAGGTGTGTCCTGGTTATGGGACAGAGAGGGATCCCACCATCCCTACACCCTCCTGGGAGGAGGCAAGATGAATTCTGGCTTGGGGTGATAACAGAGCTCTGGAAAAACCCCAAGCTGGGATTGCTCCCGTTCCCCACCAGAGGCAGCCCCGGCCCCTGCCAGTACAGTACCGATCGTTTGCGTCTCTGGGCGCTCGACCTGCTGGGTGTGTGCAGGAAAGGGAGCTCCCCCAGGGGGGTGGGCTGCCCACAGGGGTCCGGGGACATGTGCACCACAACAGAGGAGACCTTCCTCTGCTGGCTCAGCGGGACCGGCCTCAAACTGGCATCTGATATTTCTACAGAAAGGAGAGAGAGAAGAGTTAAGCCAACCTGAATGGGCCCAGGAGGGGAGGGAAGAGAAATCCACCCATGTAGGAGAACCAAGCCTATGTGTAGTATCAGACATACAAAAACCTCATCCTGCAGCTCTGAGCAGCAGCACAGCCCAGGGAGGCACATCTCCTGCTTCAGGACAGCACATGGGTTTTCAAAGGACAGTGCTGGTTTTCAAAGACAGGGTCAAATGTCCTGCACTCCAAAGCAGAGAGACTACCAGAGGCCAACAGGGAACTCTAAGAGACGTGGAGGGAGATGCCTCCACATTTTGCTCCTCACCTTTTGGAACTAAGACCCCTCCTGCCTTCTCTTGGTCATCTTTGTCCATCTCTTCCCAAGCACCTTTGCACCACTCTGTCCTACCTTTCAGAAGAAAGCTGACTGCATTTTGTGCCCCTGTCCTCTCCTCTTGGAAAGCAAATGACTGGGGTCTTTATAAAGAGATCCTGCTCCCTAGGATGTTGTAGTGCCCCATCCAACCTTCAGCCACCCCAAAAACCAGACAGCCCAGGACTTTACCTGCAAGAGAAATCCTATCGGGGATGTGCATCCGAAAGGAAGGAGGGACATCCTCTGTCACTCGCTCCTTTTCCACAGGGCTGCAGCTCTCTGCTACCTTCAGCCTGTTGGGAACCTGCATCCTTTGATTGATGGCTTCTGTGAAGTGCAGGTCGCAGCGGACTCGGTTCAGGTCCAGTCCCCACAGTGGCCACATCTTTGCTGATCTCCTCTGATGCCTCCAGCACCCTGGGGTTTCACACAGAGGGAAAGAAAGCTGAGCAAAAGTGACAACAGTGGCAGCTCTTCCAAACTGGCACCTGCACAGGGACAACACATGTGCTATAAGACAGCCAAAATACAGGCAGAAACAACCCAGAAGACAGGCACTGTAGGAGCTGTCTGGGAAAAGGGGGTGTCCCAAAAAAGCCCAGTTGGTGGGGACAAGGCTGCAGGGCCACTGCAGGTGTCCTGGGAGCCAAGTATGAACTTAGCACTTACTGTTCTCAACTGACAGCAAGGGAAGTGCTCTGCACATGTGTGCGAAGAAAGCAGCTCAGCACACCCTCAAAAACAGTGAAAAAAATATTTTCCATCCAGAAGTAAAGATTTTTTTGGAGGGCTAGATCACATTTTCCTGTTCACATACCTTTGAGGAAAAATAAGGTTTTCTAAAAGCAAAACACACATTTTGGTGGTGAGCTTCCATGTTACCACAGGAAAAACTGAGCACTAAACTCTCTGCACACACTTTCACTGCAGCATCCCCATTCCCCCCACAGTCCAGTACCCATCTCCTCAGGTGCCCCAATCAGCTGAACAGGATGGAATTTACTCTGAGCTCAGCTGCCAAATGCTGAACCATCCTCCCAGAGGGGAAGGGAAAACACACATCACCTTCTCCAGCCTGAAGCAGAGTCCCCCTGCTCAGCTCCCTTCCAGAAGGGGACCAGCAGTGAGGAGGGACACAGTCCCCAGTTCTCACTGCACCTGGGAGCAGCTGATAGCAGGGCCAGAGCAGTTTTGCAGCTGCTCAGGACACATAAATACTCCGTGCCTCAGTTCCCCCTTTGCCAAGTCCCAGGGCTTTGGGAAGTGCTCTGGGGCCACAACGTCCCAACACTTTCACTGACTGATGCAAGTGAGGGCAATCAACGTACATTTTTGGGAGAGGAGCCCCAAAAAAACACCTTCCTGGCTCCCAGTATAGGCTCTCTTCATTCTTTCCCAAAAAGCTGCAGCCAAGGAGAAAACCCCAAGCAAGGGCTGGTGAGGCTCACAGGCTCCAGCCTGACCCCAGTGCTGCCCTGGTGTTCCAGAGGTGCCACATGCATGCTCAGCAGCCCTGCACCTCCTTGCTATCACCCTTTGAGCTCACTATGCCCCAAAGTGTCCCCCTTTGCTTCTAGGTCAAAATCTCCATCCTGTGCCTGCTCCAGCACAGCCCAAACAGCTGGAGGAAGGAGAGGTTTCCCTCTCCAAAGCCAAACGGGGTGAAGCTGGATGAGAGCGAGGTACAGGAGGGTGGCAGAACCAGCTCCACACCTGCAATAACCAGCACTTCCAGTGATCACCTGCCTTGTGATGCTCTCTCCTCCTGTCATTAAAAACCTTTTAACTACAAACAGGCATTTGTCCAGCATCAGTAGCAACGATTTCCTGCTTCCAGCCATGCTGACACTTCATCCCTGTCCCTGCACTGGGTCTGCTCCAGAGGCACTGCTGGAGACACGGTGTGGGGGGGGCCCAGCAGCCCCCAGCTGTCCCACACCTTCCCCAGCACCAACACTGCCATGGGTGGGTGACACACACACACCCTGCTTCTCCCCAAAACCTTAAAGAAAGTGGATTTTTGCAGGAACCCCCCACTTGAGAACAGGACAACAGTTCCTGGGCTGGTCCCAAAGGGGTGTCAGTCCCACAAGGGAAACCTGCATCAGACACCCAGCCCATGGTCCACAGCCTTCCTTCTGTGAGCTTCTCCTTCACATTTTTGGTGAACACCCTGTGTTGCTCTCTCAGCCTGTTCTCCGGGAAACCAGCATATATTAATAACAGTAAATCTGGAGAGGGCAGATGGGTTAATTTTCTAATCACCTGTGAAACCACTGCAGCTCCCAAGGAGCAAAGGGATGGGAGGTGGTGAGAAGCAGGCTCTGAGAGACTAAGCTATTAAGAAAAGGGGAAAAAAAATAGCTGTCAAAACCCATAAGAACAAAATGCTTAAGTGGCTGGATTTCCTCCTTTAACTTTCTTCAGGGCTTTTTCTAGCTCTTGCCAAGCACACCCCCCGCTCACCGGCACAGGCTCAGCCTCTGCTTTGGCACTTCTCCTTGGATTTGCAGTGACAGGGATTTCCGGCTCACTAAGCCCGAGTAGGTTTAAGTCCTGAAAGCCAGGAAAACCTGCCTCGGGGAAGGAAACTCTACAACCTCCCTCTCTCTGTCCTTCCCCTGCCCAGGACACCCCAAACAAGGCAGGCGGGGTACCAACCTGGTCCAGCGCCCCCCTCCACCTCTCGGGATGGGGTGCTGGAGGGAGCAGTGGCTTGCTCTCAGCTCTGCCCTTCGGCACGGGGAGCGGCTCACCGGGGCAGAGAGAGGCTCAGTGGGAGAGGAAAGGGTTCGTCACCCGGCTCGGGGTGAGCCCGCTGCCCCCCGGCACGGGCTCCGGGGACCGCGGGCTCTGACCCCCGCGCGGGGCAAGGAGCTCGGGACACGGGACACGGGACACGGGACACGCGGGAGGGGACCCGGCCGGGGCAGGCGCGGGGGGGATCCCACGTCCTCCTGGGGGGACATCCCGGCCGCGGGGGACGCTCCAGCGGCTCCCGCTGTCCGGGGCTGCCCGCAGAGCCCCGGCTGCGGCACCCACCGGCTTTGCGGGGGGACAAGGGGGGCAGTGCGGTGCGGGGTGGGGGGAAACAACTTACTTTTTTTCGCAGACCAACGCAACTTGTCGGACCTGTAAACAGCCGCGCCCGCTGCCGGGACGGGGCGGTACCGGCAGAGGCAGCCCGGCCCCCCCGGTAGCTAGACCAGCCCTCTCCGGTAATCAGCCCGGCCCCCCCCGGTAATTAGCCCTCCCTAACCAGCCCGGCCCCGACAGCCCTCCCGCCCCTCCGCACTTAAAGCCACAGCCGATAATTAACGGGCTGCGCCTCATCCTGGTGTGTGTGTCCCCGGACCCTCCCTGTGCCCCCCTGTCCCCAGGACAGCTCAGCCGCGTGCTGGAGGGGTGGAATTGCACTTGCCGGGGGCAGAAGCAAACCCAGGACCTTCACCACGTCCCCGTCCTCACCCACACGCGACCCCCGCGACGTGCCCAGCCCGCAGCCCCCGCAGCCCCCGGCCCGGAGCCCGGGCTGTGCCGAGCTGTGCCGGAGCTAATCTCGGCCTCTCCGCGGCGATAAAATGATCCGTTTGGGATTAAAGACAGTTTTAAACACTTCTGAATGGGGACAGGGTCCAAGACCTGACCGTAAAATCTGGGTTTGAAAGGACTTAAAATAAATCCCCCGCTGCCCTAGTCTTGCTATTTAAAGGGGATTATCTAAGGGGTTTAGGAGCACAGAGAGGAACAGCAGGACAACCTGTGCACCTCAGTCCCCTCAAAGACCTTAGGAAAACCCTCTGCAGCTCACCTGCCCACTGGTCGGGGCTCATAGGACACCTTCCAGCTCTCAGAAGCGCACACATGCCCAGGGAAGTCCAAGCCTCTGGCTGGATGCGTGGGATTCATTCCCAGCCCCACAGCAGCACACATTCCTTCTCCAGAGACCCTCCCATCCTCCCTGGGGACTGTCCTGTGCCGTAGTGGAGGATATTGGTGTCATCCATCGTCCCACAGCTGCCACGGCTGCCTTACAGAGCTGAGCCCCAGCACCCCCCAGGATGGAAATCCAGCTGTGCCCAGTGAGACATTCCCCCTGTGCTGGGGGAGAAGGAAGGGGGGATGTTTGGAGTGATGGCATTTTGTCTTCCCAAGTCACTGCTATGTGTGACAGAGCCCTGATGTCCTGGAATGGCCGAGCACCTGCCTGCCCATGGGAAGTGGTGAATGAATTCCTTCTTCTGCCTTCCTTGCATGCAGAGCTTTACTCATGAAATTGTCTTTATCCCAACCCATGAGTTTTCTCACTTTTACTGTTCTGATTCTCTCCCCCATTCCACCAAGGGGGGACTGTGTGGATGTGTGGGGCTGAGTTGGCAGTTGGGTATAAACCACAACACCCTCTGTGGGAAAAAGCCACCCTGTGCCATTATACAGTGAGGGTTTTTTAATAAATACCTTTTTTTTTTTTTTGCACAGAAATATACCAAGTTTTACAGAGTACAAACTGCAGGGATAATGACTGAGCATCAAAGACAGAGGATGCAGAGAGCCCTGCTGTCTCCCTCCGGTCTTTTCCAGGCTCTGGTCTCCCCATAACCTTGATTTGCTAAGGCTGGGGAGGGGACAGACAAGGTTCCAGCATGTCCTGCCCCAAGAAAGCCATGCTGGGCAAGTCTCAGCTCTGGGCTGAGGGCACCTGCTGCGAGAGCATCACTGGGACCGAGCAGGATGCAGGCCACCTGCAATGGATGGACAATAGCCTTTTGGTGCTGGTGGAGAGACTGGTGCTGGGGTGAACACCGAGTGGTGGCAGTGCTGGAAGTTTCTGGGGAGTTGGTGAGCACAACCCCCATTTTAATCCATCAGAGATGACTGGGAAAGGACAGCCCAGTTGTTTGGACCCCAAAGGCAGCTGCCCAGCAAAAAGGGATACTCTGGTCCCACAGCAAAGCACCTGGCTCTGCCTTGCCCTGGCTCCACAATCACCCAGGCAGGGCTTGGCCCTGCTCCTGCCTGGCATGGCCAGGTTGAGCCATGGTCTCATGGCTCCCATCCCTGTCAGCAAGCCCTTCATCCACAGCTCTGGCCACCGAGCACTCTGCCCACCAGAGGAGCCAGGAGAGTGGGTACTCACATTCCCCTTTACCTGATCTGAAGGAGAAAGAACCCCAAAGAGAGGGGTCAGGCAGGGCGGATTGGGGTAGGGAGAGGGGAGGTTTGGCCTGTCCGCAGGCTCCCTGTGCCAGAATCCCACCTCTGGGGCAGACACCAGGCAGGCCACGCTCCAGGAGAAAGGAGCATCCTCACCACTTAAAGCCATGGGACCATGTTTGGCTTGGGATCAGAGATGACCCTCTTGGCCAGCTCTGCCACAGCCAGACCTCCAGCTGCCCAGCAACCCAGAGGGGGAAAGCAGAGAGCATCAGGAAAAGACTCTGCTGCTCCAAAGCCACTTACCTCAGGTACAAGACCACTGTGAGCCTTTCCCCCTTTTCAAAGGGATCTAGGAGAACACCTTCCTTACTGCTCCTCCCTGATCTCCAGACAGCAAATATTGCTACAGGCACCAGAGTATGGACGGGGCTCCCCACTCCCACTTGGCAACAAATCCACACAGGGGAAGAACCATCTCCCCAAACAGAGAGCGTGGACACCAACTGTGAGGATGGACAGAGGTTTGCCACACCAATCCTGCATCCCCAACTCCTAATCAGAGCCCTGAGCAGAACAGGGCCCAGTGGGGACATGGGGCAAGGCTGGGCAGCAGCCCAGGGAGGCAGCAAGGCTGTTCTAATCATGGGAAATGTTATGTCTACTCGAGGGGGAAGTGAAGGAATCAAATGCACCATGGGGAGACCCCCGCGTTGAGCCAGGAACAAGCTGCTGCTCGGCTCTGGCTGCTACAGCACTTACGTGAGTGGGGAGTGAGGGGCAGGAGATGGCTGGCTGGCTCCAGAGCCACCCCCACAGCCCGGCCTCACCCCACCTGGGGACAGCTATTTTTGGTTAGGAGGGTAAGGCTATTGTGTGATGGCACCAGCTTGTACAGGTGAGGCGGGGGCCCGACGGACACCGGGAGGGGTCCCAGGCACGGCGAAGGGAGGGCGGGTGGGTGGGTGTGAGTGTGTGAAGAGGCAGGAGGGAGGCAGACCCGCTATTTGCCCGTGGCAGGGGCAGTGGCCACGATCTCTTCGTACTTGGGCGGTGGGTCATTGTAGGAGACGCTGGTCTCCTCCCCACTGCTGCTCTCCGGGTGGCCCGTCACCTCCTCGTAGGAAGGCGGGGGGGTGGCACTGGACAGTCTGGAGAGGATGGAGACCGAGTGCTCTGGCGGGCAGAGGGTGTTGTCTTGCTGGGGGGGGGTGCCCCCAGCTCTGCCGTCTCCAGCCCCCCGGTTGCTGGCTTCCCGCTGGTACTGGGTTTCCCCCTGGCTCTGGGAGCGCTCCCGGTACACCATGACCCTGGGCAGGCTGCGTCCCGTCCGGCTGGCCAGGTACCGGTTCTGGGCGTAGGAAGGGCGGTGGCGGGTGGCCTTTTGAAGCTGGCACCTCCAGATGATGAAGAGAGCGATGACTATCAGAAGGGCCACTCCCAGCAGGGGCACCACCACATACATGGCGTCAGAGCGCTCCGTGCTGTGCCCAGGGTCCTTGACAGAGTAGACGGAGTTGGTGTAGCCCTTCCAAAACTCCATCTGTGGCGGGAGCAGAGAAACAACCATCATGTGCTGCAGGTGGGAGAAGCACCCCCTGACCACCACCAGCAATAATCACTGCCTTCCCCAGGCCCACAAAAGGGGCAGCTTTTCGGATGTCCCCCACCACTTCTGCCTGAGGTGCTGTAGGAACCAACAAAGGTGGTCATGGGAACATCCCTCAACAGTGGCCAACAGCCCCCACACCAAGCAGGGAGAAATTTAGCTCACACCAACCCCAGGCTGGAGAGTCGGGGACAACAGCACAGATTTCCCAGGTGCCATGGGAGTGCCAGCTTGACCTGCAGCTGTGGGCAGGGTGTCCTGGCACAACCAAGGCAGTGGCCTAGGAAGGGAAAGCCATGCTGGAAAGTGAGGCCACAGCATGCTGCCTGCAGACAGAAGAGGACAAAAGGAACAGGAGAGGCTGTTCCCCCTGTGCTTTCCCTCTCTGTCTCCAGCTTGCTGAAGTGTGAACCCTCACACATCCACTGGGGAGCAGGGCAGGACAAACTCACCGTCTTCTCCTTGTTCTCAAACACCTCCTTGACCTCCTCATAGCTGCAGACCTCCTCGATGCACTCCCGCTCGATGGTGCCCTGACGGATCTCCTCCAGGAAGCCATTGGCTCTGGGAAAGCGTTTCAGGACCGAGTGGGCATTCCTGGCCCCCAAGAACACTGCAACACACAAGGCAGAGACATGCTGAGCAGGGACAACCCCATACCTGGCCTCTGCCCAGCCAGGCTTTCCCACCTGGCTTCCTAGTGCTACAGGCATTCCCAACACCAAAAGCCCAGGGCTACAAATGAGGTGGCACAGCAGAGTACCCACTGTGGGACAGCACACCCAGAGGGGCACAGGGCTCTCGGGGTCTGCCCAGAGATGTATGGCACCAGGAGCCCTTCCATCGGGGCTGAGGTGCTGGAGACTTTGGAAGCAGCAGCTGCAGCCACACAGGGCAACTGAAGAAGCGACAGAAGGTTCCAAAAATACTTGTTGTCAACCTCCTGCCCGTGATGAACTTCACCTTTCTGCCTCTTTGCTGCAAAGGAGATCCCACCAGGCAAGGGAGACCCTGCAGGGCTGGGATGGAGAGCCAGGGCTCTGGCACGAGAGGGACTCACAGCACACAGTTCACTGCACGACAGCCTGCTGGGAGCTGCTGGCCCTGCTGCCAGCTGCTGAGGGGTCATGCAGGCTCAGGTAGCTTCAAGGACTCTGCTCAGGTCCTAGAGAAACCACTGTGTCTTCTCCCAGGCCAACAAGAGCAAACATCCCCAACATACGGGGACAGTACAGGGGTCATGACTCAGGTACTGAGGGGGGCCTGAACAACCTCTCCTCTCATCACATTCTCATCCCTACTGTGTTTTGGTGCAGAGGCCTCACAAACCTTCCTCTGCTCCCAAAGCCTGGGAGATTCCTCAGGTGTTCCCACAGAGCATGCAGTCAGGAAGCCAGAGTGAGCAGGAAGAGCACCTTCCTGCCTGCGAGACAGACATCAAAGCCTCT